GTGTGACGGGGGATTAGGATCTTGGTAGACGTCTTGCGTCCTGCTATTTTTATTTAATATCCTCAGCGTTTCTCATCTTCTGAAGCGTGATTTTGATGACTCTGGGACTTCAGCACATGGGTTTAGAAAGATCTGCATGAATCTGAATCATTTCCAGTTTTTGTTTGCAGTGGTAGTGCTGATGCAGATGGCCCAGTGCATAAATCTTTCCATACTTCTGATGGTTTCCTTGGGTTAGATTCCCAGAAGTGGGCCAAAGACAGGATCCATCTTCAGGGTCTTGCTGCAAGTTGGGGAGGGTGGAGGCCGGGAACATTTGAGCTGGCTTTGGAGGGCCGAGAATCCGTAGAGGCCGTGAAGGTGGGTGGAAGGGAGCCTTCCCTCTCCGTCTTACCTCCCAGCGGCAGGGACTATAATCCCAGCGACTCAGGAGGCTGAGGCAGGAGGCTCACCCTTCAAGGCCAGCCAGGCCCATGTTTGCCTGATACTGTGTACTGGTGGACGTCTGTGATGTCCAGTGGGGCGTCTCCTGCTCCCTGTGTAGCATCAACTCCTAGCAGACAGAAGAGGAAGTGATATGTGGTCATGGGGTCTGAGATCTGCAAAGTAAGGAGCTGGTGGAAACCCTTGCTGGCATCCGGGGAGGGGGGACACATCTGGTGACCTGTTGGGGGGGGTCCCGGGGTGGGGGCTTCTCTAGGGCACGTTCACGTAGGCAGAAGGGGGTAGCTCTGCCTGTGGGTGTAGGACCTAGGGGTGATTTTAGGACCCTGACAGGGCAGAGGTGCCCGAGGACCCGTGGCCAGCTGTCTCCTGATTTCTCGTGGCTGGGTGCTCTCCATGAGTCCTCCGTGGGGGGCCGTGGCACACGGGCGTCCCTGCCTTAGACAGAAATCTGGTCTCCTCGCCAAATGTCCCACTGTGAATCTAGGGCAGGGCTGCCCTCCCCAGGGACCCTCCGCCATCTGGGGCCTTGGTGACTCTGGGAGGGAGGGGAGGCAGCCCTGTGGGGCCCTGCTGAGTGTGGGGGGCAGGGCTGGGGCTGGTGGAGACGCTGGGAGGGCCTGTGCCCGCAGTGGGGCCTGTGTCTGTGTCCTGTGGCCACCGGAACTAATCACTGGAAACCGGGCGGCTTCACGGGGCCCAGAAGGCCGAGTCCCAGGAGTCGGTCGGGCCTTGCTCCCTCCCAGCAGCCCAGGGTAGGGGACCCTCGTGTCCCTCAGCTTGGGCTGTGTCCTCCAGTCTCTGCCTTGGTCTTTACGTGGCCTCCTCCTCTGGGCCTCTGGCTCTGAAATCTCCCTCTGCCTTTTTATTAAAAGGACACTTGTTTGGTGTCCCTCGTCAATTCTCATTCTCAGGATCCTTAACTTGATTCCATCCCAAAGAGCTTTTCCAAATAAGTCCCCTCCTTCCCAGTTCTGAGGTTGGCATCGGGCATGACTTTTATGTCTTTCAATTTTTTATTTGGAAACAAGGTCTTGCTAAGCCGCTTAAGGCTTTGCCAAGTTGCTGAGGCTGGTCTCTAACTTTGATCTTCCCGCCTCAGCCTCCCGATCTGCTGGGATTACAGGTGTGCACCACGTCACCTGGTGGACACGTCTCTTTTGAAGACATCCAAGCCCTTAAGGAACCTTAGAGGAAAGTGGGGTCTCAGGTTGAAAAAAGAAGACTGTTGTTGCACCCGGCGTGGTGATGCACGTCTGTCATCCCGGCGGGTCAGGAGGCTGAGGCAGGAGGATTTCAACTTAGAAGACAGCCTCAGCAACTTAGTGAGGCCCCGAGCAACTCGGTGAGACCCTGTCTCTCAATAAAATACAAAAAAGGGCTGGGGATGTGGCTCAGTAGTAAATGCCCCTGGATTCCATCCCCAGTACCAAAAAAAAAAAAAAATGAAAGAAAGGAAAAAAAGACTGTTCCTTCTCTGTTCCCAAGGCCTGTCTGAGGCTGCTTCTGGGCTCTCTGCCCAAGTTCAGCACTCGTGTTTCAGCCGGTGGTGAGTTCCACAGAAGTCCCGAGCTCCCGGAAGGGCTGGGAGTAGGCTGTGTCCAGCTCTGCTCCCAGAGCGCCCACACACCCTCCCTGAAGCCACTGGTGTGGGAGGGAGGGGTGTGGACCACGTGGGCACCAGGCAGGTTGGGAGGAGGCCACAGTGAGCCTGGTTCAGGAGGAGGAGGGGGAGGGGTGCTGGTTGTGGGCTGGCCTGGCCCGGCTCGCCCCTCTATTCAGGTGTGGCCTTCTGAGACAGACAGGAGGGCCTCCGGGAGCAGGGAGGGTTGGGAGTGGTTGGAACACGGTTTCCTTGGGGAAGGGGTCACCCCCCAGCACGGAGGGGCTTCTCCTCCTGCTGCTCCTTATAGCTGCTCCTAGAGTGCGGTGATCTGTGTCACTGCGGCCATCAAGGATAACTCAGCCAGCATGGTGGCACAGGCCTGGGATGCCCGCCACTCAGGAGGCTGAGGATCTCAAGTTCAAGGCCAGCCTGGGCAGCTTACGTCGACCCTGTCCCAAGACAAAAAGGGCTGGGGGTGTAGCTCAGAGGCGGCGAGCTCCTGGGCTCAGCTCCCCCTGGGTCCTGCTGGTCACCATCCTGATGGCAGGGCGGCTCCCCCTGCGAGGACCCGGTGATGCAGGGTAGTGGACTCCCGGCAGATAACAGCCAGGCCACGAGCACAGAGGTCACTAGGGTGTGCCCGAGGACGGCGGTGACCTGAGCCTTGAAGGGACGCAGCACAGAAAGTGAGGGCAGCTGGGACTGGCAGGAGGCCGCTGACCCAGACGAGCAGCGTGGACAGGGTGTGTGTGCAGGGGCGGCCCTGGCCAGGTCACCGCATGATACTCCACCCGCGACGCTGTGCGGTGGGTGCCTCCAGGTGGGCCCCCAGGGAGGGGCTCTCCAGATGGGGGCACAGACTCACCGGGACCCCGAGGGCAGGCTCTGCTTCCTCCCTGGGGCAAGCCTGGTCACGGTCTCCCCTCACCCAGTGTCTGCTGGCCGCGAGGAACAGGGGGCCCATAGCACAGGGGCCCCATCCGGGGCAGTTGGGACCACGCACTGGAGGCTGGGGGTAGACCAGGTGACCTCAGGCGACTCAGGGGAGTACACGGGGTGCAGTTCCGAGCCTTGGCCTTCCTGGCTGGGGTGACCTTCACCCCAGCCCATCATGCAGTGTGCACGCAGGGTGAATCCCCTGCTGGCCCAGTGGCAGGGAGAGCTGCACCAGGTTGGAATCTGGAGCTGGCACCCCCTGGCTCAGGACCCTGCGCCCAGTGGCCACATTATCACGGAGGCCACTGGCTGGGCCTGTGAGCAGCTGAGGTTTGTGGGTGTGATCTTGTTGGGCTGCGCTGCACCTTGTTCTCACCGTTTATTTACTTTGCAGTGCTGGGGACGGAACCCAGGCTCTTGCCCATGCTAGGCAGGTCCCCCACCACTGAGCCCCAGCCCCAGCCCCAAGCCTCGAACTGTGATCCTCCTGCCTCAGCCCCCCAAGTAGCTGGGATCAGCTGCCATGTGCACCTCCGTGTCTGGCGGCAGTGTGATCTTTCAAAGGGCTTGTTTTGCTTCGGCCGGCATTGAAGGATCAGGAGGTATCATATAGAAGTGCAGAAGCTCTGGCCACCCTGGGCCCCTGTTCCTGCAGGGCAGAGATGGCTATTAGCACCTGTCACTACCTGGTCACACCTGCCACTCAGCTGACAAGTGAGGGAGGGATGCCCAGGGCTAACGGTCCTCATGTGAGTGTCGTGTCTGGGAAGCTGGAAGGCTCCAAGGTCAGGCTTCAGAGCCGGGGCCGCCTCTGCCTCCCACCTCCCTGCCACCCGCCCCCTGGCCCCTGCCCCCTGCCTCTCCAGCGCCCACCAGCCCCTGGTCTTCCGAAGGAGGTGCTGGCCCTGCAGACACAGGAACTCTTCTGCGTTTGGAGGCAAGAAGGCCCAAAGGTCTTGCCGAGCTGTCGCTGAGTGCGGGGACCAGCTGTCGGCCCTTTTCCCGGTCGGGAGGGGAGGAGGCTGGGGTCCCGTGAAGTCCTGGGCTCTGGGGGCTGGGGGGCAGAGGAGGGTGGGGAGAGGCTGGGTCGCTGGGGGAAGGAGCTGGGGAGGGCTCCTGCCACGTGGGCCTCTCCCTGCTGGCCGTAACCAGGCAGCTGGTTCTCATTTGGTGGGAGGCTGCAGGGTGGGGGAGGGCAGCTTTGCAGGCACCACCCGCTGCCTTGAGGGAGCGGACCCGGTGGAGGGGGCGGGAGAGCCGGGTGCTGGGCTTCAGGGTGGGGTCAATGGTCCGCGTCCCCCAGGGACAGACGTACGGGATGGGGAACGTGTGGGGGAGGGAGAGGACTGAGGAGCTGGCCAGCGTGGACCCGGCTGGGGAACTGGACAAGCAAGAGGGAGACAGGGCCGACCAGCAGCCTGGCTCTGCCACTTGCTCTCCACGCCATCGGCCCGTGGCGGAGGTGCCCCCTGCCTCGGTTTCCCTGTCTGTGTCAGGGGGAGAATGTTCTCTCCGTCACGGGTTGTCGGGGGCCGTAGGTGTGCCTGGGCCGGTGAGCCCAGTGCTGGGTAGAAGTCGCGGCGTCCACCGTTGTCCACGGGGTCTTCGTGTCCTGTCCTGATTCGGAGCCGTTCTGGTTGCAGTTTGGTCCTGGGGGACGCGTCCTCCTCTGGCCGCGGGAGTGTTTGCTGGTGGTGTCTGAGTGCCTGCTGTGGGGGGGCGAGGGGGAGCCAGGAAGCCACACCTAAAGAAGTCCAGGCCCCCGCGAGCCGGAACGTTCCGTAGGTGGGCCTGGAGGAAGAGGCCCCCATGCCCTGGCCTTGGCGGGGCAGTGTCCACCCTGCTCCTTTGTCTTTGTCCCCTGAACTCTTGATTGCTGGTGCCCTGGGAGACCTCTGGGAGGGGCCTGTCCTTTCTCTTAGTCCCCTCTGGTCCAGCCACCTTACCTTCCTGGACGCACGCCCTTGCCTAGCGTCCCCTGCGGCCACTCACCACGTCCTCCTCTGTCTTTCAGCCTTGAAGAGGTCCTTCGAGGTCGAGGAGGCCGAGCCACCCAACTCCACCCCGCCCCGGCGGGTCCAGACGCCCCTGCTCCGGGCCACTGTGGCCAGCTCCACCCAGAAGTTCCAGGACCTGGGTGTGAAGAACTCAGAGCCCTCCGCCCGCCATGTAGACCCCCTGGGCCAGCGCTCGCCCAAGCCTGCCCTGCGGAGGGTGGAGCTCGCGGGGTCCAAGGTGCCTGAACCCGTGTCCCGCCGCACGGAGCTCTCCATCGACATCTCGTCCAAGCAGGTGGAGAGCGCGGCCACCCCTGGGCCGGCCCGGTTCGGGCTCAAGAGGGCCGAGGCGCTGGGCCACAAGACCCCAGACCCGACCCCTCGGAGGACGGAGGTCACCATCGTCAAGCCCCCGGAGCCAGCCCACCGCAGGATGGAGGCCCCTGCCTCCAAGACCCCCGAGGTGCCTGCCAGCCCTGCCGTCGACACAGCCCCCAAGAGGGTGGAGATCCAGGTGCCCAAGCCGGCCGAGGCGCCCGCCTGTCCCCTCCCACCCCAGACCCTGGAGAATTCAGAGCCTGCCCTGACGTCCCAGCTGCAGAGCAGGCTGGAGCCCAAGCCCCCGCTGGCCGAGGCCCTGCCCAGGAGCCCCGAGGGTGAGTGTCTGGGGCTGGGTCCTCCAGCCTGTGCAGGAGGGGAGGGGCGTGCCGTGGGGTCTCTGGGGGAGCCGCCCATGTGGGGGAGATGCTCTGTGGAGATGGAGGAGCTGGACACGCCGGGCAGCGTCCCAGCGCTCGGGCGGTGCCTGGCTGCCTGACCCCTGGGACCGCCCCAAGATGGTGAGGACTTGGACTCTGGAAACAGTCGTGGGTTACGAGGGAACCCCTCGTGGGTCCCCCGGGCTGTGGCAGGACTCTGCGCCGTGACCCGGGGGCCGGAGGTTTGGAGAAGAGTGGTCAGTGCAGGACGGGGCGGGGTTGAGCCCCTGGCTGCCGGGAGAGGTCCTGCCAACGGGGACCACGGGGCCTGGAAGTGCCCGGCAGGGCCGAGGCCCAGTGGGGAGGCAGGCTCCCTTGTCCTCCTGGGCTGCTGGGGGCCCTCTCCTGCTGACTCTGTGCCTTGGCCTCCCTCCCTCCCCTCCTCCTCCCTGGGGAGGGGCGGCCGTGGCCAGCAGCCAGGAGAGCAAGCACCTTGGCCACTGCCTGCTGGGGAAATGGCCCAGGCCCCTGGGCAGAGTCCCTGGACCCAGGGCGCTGTGGGACCTGCACCCACCTTCGTCTGGGGGTGCTCTCTCTGTGGTCCTCTCAGAGCAGCCAAGGGGAGACGGGCCAGGCCTGCGGGGGCGTGCTGGGCCGACGGCACTGTGGTCCTCACAAGTGTGCCTGTCCCAACTCGGCCCTTCCCGGGCTCCCAGTGAAGGGGTGCTGGGTCATGGGCCCCTCAAAGCTGAGTGTGGGGCGCAGGACTCGGAACTCGCCCGTGTCCCATGCTGTTCTTCGGTTAGACAACCCGAGCGGGCTGCCGGGATCACAGGCGTGAGCCAGCACCTGGCTTTTCGTAATTTTTAACTGTGGTGAACGCAGCAGCGTAAAACCAACTGTTTCAGCCGCTTTTAGGCTGTTGTCCCGGCTTCTCCATCACTTTACATCTCTGTCTCCTTCAAACCCCTCCCACCCCCTCTCTGCTCCCCGAGGCCCTCCTGTCTGTCTCAGGAGTCGGGTGGCCCACAGGGCCGTGTCTCTCTGGAAGTGCATCTCACCGTACTGGTCTTTTTGTGGCTGGCTTATTTCACTCAGTGTGATGTCCTCGAGGGTCACCGGGTCACAATCTCCTTCCTTATCAGGGCTGAGTACTACTCCGTGCATGTATATGCTGCATTTTGTTCCGTTTCCCCGGGCCTCTGGGTAATGCTGCTGTGAGCCTGGGTGCCCTGCAGCCCTTTTGGTACCTGCTTTCGGTTCTCCTTGGTTTTCCTTCTGGAATGAGGCCCTCCCCAGGGTCAGGGTGGGGAAGGATGTGCAGGCCACCCCTTGCCACTTGCCCTTGCACACCTCCTTTAGCTCAGCAGGCCTGGGGTCCTGGGGCTCTGCGTCTCCGACCGTGCCTGGGCTATCCTGGGTTGTGACACTGTGGCGACCTTTGAAGGTTCCTGCAGCCCTGGGTGTGAGTCTGTCTCTCTAAACTTGACCCTGCAGAGTCCTCCCCGCCCCCGCCATCCACCAGGCCGGACGTCTAGGGCTGCCCCGGGTGGGCAGGGTGGTGGGGCTGTGTCCCCCACCCCCAGTCTTCTGTTGGTCCACGTCCTGGTTGGCTGTGCCACCGTGTGCACCCCCTCCTGGGAAGAGGTGTTCACACTCCGCTGAGTCAGACAGGATGTGGTGGGGAGGCAGAGGCCGCCCAGATCCTGCGACAGCTGGTGCTGGGCGCACCAGGAGGGGTCCTGGCTCTGCAGCTTCCGCTCAGGGTGGCACTGCCAAGGAAGTGCCCCGGGGTGCCAGTCTTCCCCGGCACAGACAGCTCAGCCCCGCTTTAAACAGAGACTGTGCCAGGCGCTGGGGCCCAGGGGCCACAGGGGCAGTCCTGTGGCCTCTGCCCCCCGAAGCTGGCCAAGCCGCAGGAAGGGTGGTGGGTGGACGGGGGCTGAGGGCAGAGAGGGAGGCCTGCCTGGGAGGGCGGGAGGGGAAGGCCCCATGGTGGGGCCTGGGGGCTGCACAGAGCCCCGGGGAGTGGTTGCTCCCACGGCTTCCCAGATGCCCCGGCCACTGAGGGCCCGGCCTGGGAGCCCAGCTCCTGTGCGGAGGGCCACGGCCTGTGCTCCTGTGTCCTGTGCTCCTGTGACCTGTGCTCCTGTGTCCTGTGCTCCTCTGTCCACGTGGAGCAAGGGCAGGAGACGGGGAGGGCAGAGCCTTCCCAACGGAGCCGTGTTCCCGAAATCCCACGCCCCTCCTCAAGGTGCCGCCTGCTTCTCCGTCCCCTCACCTGTTCACAGCCTGACCTGTGCCTCTGGACACAGACTGGCCCTCTCTCCCGTCTGTCCTGTAGACCCAGCTCGCTGTCCCCTTTCACCTCATGGAGGACCAGGTTGGAAGAGACCAGAGTCCCCTGCAGACTCACACCAAGCTGCCCCCTGTGCCCGAGGGCCAGCTGGCAGGGTGGGAGGAAGGACCCGGAGGAGCGAGCTCCTTAGACGCTCAGCCCCTTGGCTGCTGCCTCCAGGGTGGGGTCTCCAGGGCCCGGCCCAGCTGCTTCCAGACCAAGGCCCCGAAGGGCACAGCAGTGAGGTCCACTCCCCCTGGGCTCGCCTGGGCCCTGCGCCCCAGCTTTTCTCTGTCTCCACACTGTTCCTCACAGCCACAGGCCCTGCCCCCGTCCCCGCCCCATCACTGCTTTGTGGAACTCCTGTGTGTCCCTGCGACTCCTGTGTGTCCCTGCGACTCCTGTGCGTCCCTGTGACTCCTGTGTGTCCCTGCTACTCCTGTGTGTCCCTGCGACTCCTCTGTGTCCCTGCGCATCCCTGTGACTCCTATGTGTCCCTGCGACTCCTGTGTGTCCCTGCGACTCCTGCGTGTCCCTGTGACTCCTGCGTGTCCCTGCGACTCCTCTGTGTCCCTGCGCATCCCTGTGACTCCTGTGTGTCCCTGCGACTCCTGTGTGTCCCTGTGTATCCCTGTGGCTCCTTAGCATCCTCCGTCCGTTTTGCTCTTTCTCCTGTGAAATACCTGATATTTGGCTTGGGATCTAAGCTCTTTGGGTGTGAACCTTCGTTTCTCGGCTGGATGTGTTTTTTCAATGGAAAAGTGGTTTTTCAGGTTATAAAAAGCAGCAGCTCTCCTTCCTTAGAATGCAGGAATCACAGGCAGCAAGGGAAGCCCTCAGCCGGGCCCGGTGTGCGTGCTCTTGAGCGTTTTCCTGGACGCTCTTCAGGATCCCTTCCTTCCCCCAGTGGCATGTAGGTCCCTGGAAGGTGGCTGTTGCCTTTGGTTTGGGAGAATCCCACCAGACGGCTGGTGAGGGACCTGGCCGGGCAGGTGCTCCACTGACAGTGGGGAGTGGCCCACGGCAGTGGCCCACGGGTGCCGACATGAGCTGGCTTTTCGTGGCTCTTGCAGGTGGCGCAGGGACCCTATGGATCTCTCGGGGACCCAGGACTGAGCAGATGCTTTTCCTGCCGACTTCGCCGGGGGCAGCTGCTTGCCGGCCGGCTGGGGTCTCCCGGGTGCTGGGGCAGGTGGTCGCGGGGGACTCTGCAGGGCTTGCCGCGGGTTTTGAGCGCGTGACGCGGGGTGGTCCTGGAAGGGTGGGCATTCAGGGGCTGCAGTGGGCTGAGGGTGGTGAAGAGGAGCTCGAGGAGCGCGGGCAGCTGAGGGCAGAGGCCGCCTTGCTCCTCCCGGTCCAGGGCTGTCGAGGCCTGAGCTTGTGCTGCGCTGGATTCTGTGTTTCCCGAGTCTGGCCCTGGCCCTGGCCCTTGGCCCCTGCTTGCTGTCCTCTCTGAGAAGGGACTTCACCCTTTTCGGGGTCATCCCTGGTCCATCCGTCTGTGGGTAGGGCTGGGCTCTAGGGCTGCTGGCTGGGTCCCTCCCGGGCCAGGCTCCCGGGCTCCCGGTGGCCTTATAAGGTGCGCTCCCTGTGCGACTGTGACCTGTGACGGTGCCTTCTCTGGGCTGCGGGAGGCTGGGCTGAGTTCCTGGGTGCGTCCGGCTCCACCCAGGAACCCTGAGCTCCTACCCTCCAGGCCTCTGTTTTTGAAGCTGTCAGTGAGGAGGGTGTGGATGGCGGGCCCCAGGCCAGGCCGAGAGCTGCGTGGGCTCCGCTGCCAGTGGGTGGCCCTACTGGTGCTAGGGGCAGCGTGTGAGGGCGGCCAGGGGTGGGCAGGCGTGGCCCTGTGACTCCAGACCTCGGGGAACAGCGTGGGTGCGGCTGCGGGAGGGGCATCAGGTCCCCGCTGAGGGACATGGGGATGTCCTCACCAGGCCTGTGTGCAGGGCGGGGGCCGAGGGGGGCTGCAGGACAGTGAGGTGCTGAGTGGGACCACCGGAGGGGACTGCGGGGTCTGAGGAGTGGAGTCACCAGCCAGGGGACGTGGACTGTGTACCTGGCCCCGCCCGGGAGGACTCAGGGTGCCCAGCACTGCGTGGGGTCAGAGAGCGCAGCCGGCAGAGGGTGGCCCCAGGACTTGGGGAGGAAGTGTCCCTGCCTCAGAGCCCCTTCGCAGTCCCCTGAATTTGTAGGACGCCACGTTCTGCAGGGTGCCCTGTGGGCCATCCCTGGCCTGGGCAGTCCCCGGCACCAGCCGGAGACACAGCCTGTGTCCAGGAGGGGCATCCTGCTGGACTCTTACCGGGAAGACAGCCCTCTGCTCCGAGCCCCTCCAGTTTTCCTGACTCGCCCCAGGGGGCACCGACGCCCCATTACCCTGTGACGGGCCTTCCCCTCCCCTGCTCCGAGGCCCGCCTCCTGAGCTGCCTGTTCTGCAGGGGAAGCCCTGACCTGGGGGACAGGGGGACCTATGGGGGACGGGCCAGGCCAGGTGGGTCTCCAGGGTGGGGACAGCGAGGACAGAGCCTGTCTCTGTGGTGTAGGACAAAGAGCCCCTCCCCTGGCTGGCCGGTGGCCCAGCTGTCCGCCAAGCCCCGTGTGCGCGGGAGGGGAGCCAGGC